GGGATCCAGTGAACGCCTTCCCTCCTGCCCCCACCCGTTCCCACATCCCTGGAGCCCTGCCCTGGGCTGCCAGCAGCTCCCTGGTCGAGCGACGCTGCTACCTACGGGCCTGTCTGTGTTCGCACCAGCTCACCTGGCCGCTCCTCATGCGCCTGAGCCGGGTCACTGCAGGGCAGGTGGGTCTGGGCCTGAGCCAGTGGCCCCTGGACAGGGCCCAGCCCCTAACTGGGCACCTAGGGGTTCATCCTGCCCAGGTCTCTGGAGCACTGGGTGGGCAGCCGGAGAGCAAACCCGCGCTGGGCCCTGCTGGAGGGCCAGGCAACAGGCCAGGAAACACCATCCTGGGGCAAGGAACCCAGGCCCCACATCCCTGGGCAGGGCCCTCTGGCCAGCCCCCAGCCTGGAACACAGTGCCAAGAAGGGCAGCAAGAACCAGCGGGGCTGGAGCAGCCTCCAGCACTGTCAGCCCCTGGCGCCCTCTGGTGGTCTAGCGCCCCCTGGTGGTCTAGCACCCAACACAGCCACTGTCAGCCCCTGGCGCCCTCTGGTGGTCTAGCGCCCCCTGGTGGTCTAGCACCCAACACAGCCACTGTCAGCCCCTGGCGCCCTCTGGTGGTCTAGCGCCCCCTGGTGGTCTAGCACCCAACACAGCCACTGTCAGCCCCTGGCGCCCTCTGGTGGTCTAGCGCCCCCTGGTGGTCTAGCACCCAACACAGCCACTGTCAGCCCCTGGCGCCCTCTGGTGGTCTAGCGCCCCCTGGTGGTCTAGCACCCAACACAGCCACTGTCAGCCCCTGGCGCCCTCTGGTGGTCTAGCGCCCCCTGGTGGTCTAGCACCCAACACAGCCACTGCTGACCAGGGACCTGATAATAGTCTTCAAATATATAAGGACTGAAAGAAAGAGGATGTGATCAATTGTTTTTCAGGTCCACTGAAGGTAGGACAAGTAGTAATGGGCTTAATCAAAAGCTAGGGAGATTTAAATTATGGTAAGTATTTGGAAAAGCTTTCCAACTATAACAGTAGTTATGCTCTGGAATATGCTTCCAAGGGAGGTTGTGAAATCACCATCATTGGAAGCTGTTAAGAACAGTTTAGGCAAACAGCTCACTTGGATAGTCTTCTAAATTTACCTCAGCTCCCAACACAGTCACTGCCAGACCCCTGGCGCCCTCTGGTGGTCCAGCCCCCAACACAACCACTGCCAGACCCCTGGCCCCCAGCACTGCCCCTGCCAGCCCTGTGGCACCCTCTGGTGGCCTAGGCCCCAGCACTGCCATCACCAGTCCCCTGGTGGCCCAGCTGCCAACACTGCCACTGCCAGCCCACTGGCTCCCAGTACTGCCCCTGCCTGTCCCTTGGTGCCTTCTGCTAGGCCAGACCCAACATAACCACTGCCAGCCCCCTGGCACCCTCCAGTGGCCCAGCACACAACACAGCCACTGCCAGCCCCCTAGAGTCCTCTGCTGGGCCCAGCCCCCAACACTGCCACTGCCAGCCCCCTGGCACCCTCTGGTGGGCCCAGCCCATCTGCACACTCGCACCCTGCAGTGACACACACACACACACACACACACACTCCTGACCGAGGAGACTTCAGCCTCCTTCTGCCTCCCTGCAGTGAGCTGGGATGCAGCTGGATTCCCCAACCCTCCAGGAGCAGACCCCCTGCCCCAGCCTGCCAGTGCAAGCTGCTTGGCCGGGTCTGGGCCCACTGAGCCCTTCTGGATCAGTGGGTTCTGGGGCAGTGCCTGGCAGGATTGGGCCCTGGGTGAGTCCCAGTTCTGGGGGGGGAGGGGCAGAGACTCTTCTGCGCTTGCCCTCAGCGTGGCTTCCCAAAATCCACTGACCCAGCCTCAGGCCTCACCTAAATCAAACCCACGTCAGCGCCGACGCCTGCACAGCCTGGGTGTGTTTGTGCTTCTTACCAGAAGGAACCGCCCGGGAGGAAGGGCCGCTTGCTCGCGTGCACCGACACCGAAACACACACAGGTCCCTCCCCCCGCGCCACGGCTGGCTTGTGTGCTGTGCAAAATCTAGCTGGTGATTGTTTCGTTCACGAGGGTCTCCTAATTAGGGTTGGAAGGAATCCCCCAGCCCTTTTTAAATCAGTAAACAGCGGCAAACATCTGTCTCCTAACACATGCAAAGCAAGGGCCCCCGCGGCCCCCACTGCTAACTGCAGGGTACAGCTGAGCAAATGCGGAGAAAGGCCAGCTGGGGGAAGCTTTACTCTGCAGATTTTCACAGAGGATGTTGGTCTTCTTGTGCTTTAACAGCTCGCAAGCGATAACTCTTTGACTCTCACTGCCTGCCGCCATTAAACAATGACGCCCGACTTCGCACCAGCTGCCAGCATTTAAACTAAGAAACCCCGGTAAACCGCCCAGCTCTGTGCACGGGTGAACACGGACACTGCCGCAAGCGGGGGGGGGGGGGGGGGGGGGCAGGATCAACTCTTCCCCAGCGGATTGCCGGGTGTACGCCCAAGGGGGGCCAAATCGGCCTAGCACAGGTGGCCACTTCCTAGTGTTTGCCTCTGCCACTCGGCCGGCCGCCTGACACGGGTGTTTTGATGCCGCCTCCGAGATGGTTCGCAAAGCCCCAGAAAACACTGAAATTCCAGCCTGCAGCCTGGAGCTGACCCACCTGCCAGTCCACCGCAGGGGCGACACATGGGGACATGCTGGCTCATGTGCCCCCACGTGCTGTGGACAAGGGACTGGCCAGCAGCTGGCAGGAGGCCAGCGGGGGGGGGATCCACCCCCACACTCACAGGCTGCATTGCCTAGGAGGGGCAGGACTGCCCCCGCACTCACCTGCGGGAAGTGGAGCGATGCGGCCGGAGGAGCAGAGCCAGCCGGGGCCACGTCCCTCTGCTCTCCCCGCTGCTGCCCATGAGTGCAGGGGAGAGGTGGACCCCTGCTGCCAGCGCTGGCCCCCCAGTCCTGCTCGTCCCGCAGGCCACCTTGGTTGGGGAAAGAGGTGAGGGGGCGGAGGAGGGGCAGGATCCGGGGCAGAGGGGGATGCCCTGGCCCTTTCCTGGGGGGTGGGTCTCTCCTCACCACTCACCCCTGCTCGACAGCACAGAGCCAAGGGAGGGAACTGGCAGCAGTAGTGGGCTGTTATTCTCTCTGAGGACAGACCAGCTGCTGTGGCGGGGGGAAGTTTGCTGACAGGAAGGGCACTCTTAGGGGTACGCTAGCAACACTGTGACACAGCTGTGCCTCTGGTCAGAGAGGTCGCCGGCTGAGTCCAGGGGGCTGGTGGCACCTCACAGACTAACAGGTTTGTTTGGGCACTGGGGCCCACTGGACTAGCCCGGTGTCCTGTCTGCCCCAGAAGGATTGATCAGAACAGAACCAGCAAGTGATCCCTCCCGTCGCCCATTCAGAGCCTCTGACAAACAGAGGTTAGGGATACCAGCCCCGCCCATCCTGGCTAATAGCCATAGATAGACCTGACCTTCATGAGTCTACCCTGTTCAAGTGCTCGTCTTTACAACATCCTCTGGCAAGGAGTTCCACAGGTTGGCTGTGTGCTGTGCGAAGAAATACCTCCTTGTGTTGGTTTTAACCCTACTGCCTATTCATTTCATTTGGTGACCCCTGGTTCCTGTGTCACATGTTAATCCGTAGGGTGCTGCCGGACCCCTTCATTGTTTCTGGTGAAGATGCTCAGACCCAGCCCCCAAGTGAGAAGCAAAAAACCCAACCACCCCAAAACAACGTAGCGCAGCCACACAGCGGCTCTTTGGTGCACCGTACACCGTGCAGGCGGCTCATTCGCACCCCTGAGCGCTGTAAGTGCAGCCAAGCTCTGGTGTGGACAAGCCTGAGGCAGGAACCCGGGGCCCCACGCCAGGCTCTGCAGGTGCCTGTTATCGCCTGGTTGCAGACGCTTCTGTCACACAACTGACAGCGCCGCTCCTCCACGGGGGGGCTAGTGCGGGGGGAGGGCACCACACCCTCCAGAGAGACAGTCTCTGCCCGCGGCTGTGGTACTTAGTGGCACAGTCTGGGGCTGCCCTGTCGGGGCTGGGGCATGGAGCACTCAGGGCAGGTGGAAGGTTTGGAGATTGTAGCTACCAGCCTCTGACCGGCCTTTATTAACATATGCAAATTGCTATTGTCAGGGGCTTATAATAGGCAGGTTCGGGCTGACGTTCCCAGGGACGGCAAAAAGCACCTGCCCACCCCAAAGACCGAATTCCAAGTCCCTGCACCGCAGCACGGGGGCATGAGAGCGTCACAGCTGAACAGTTGTCAGGAACTTGTACCATGGGGAAACACGGGGGTATTTTCCTGTAACCTTGTTCTCCAAAAACTAACTGAAACTTCCCAGCACGATCCAGCCTAAGGCAGATGCTCAACCAGGAAACTTTCAACCCAAACAGCCTATGTTTGCTGAAGTGGCAAGCAACTGGAAATAGTCTTGTCATGGGAAACATCAGGCACCTGTCACTACAGGCGGTGCTGCAGGCGCCTGTCACTACAGGGGCTGCTGCAGGCGCCTGTCACTACAGGGGGTGCTGCGGATCCCACTGACAAGCAGGGCTTGGCAGATGCTCAAAATGGCACTGCAATGCCCCCTCCTCTGGGGCAGGTGACACCCACCTGTGCGCCCTGCAGCCTGGACCTGGCAGCCCTGTGACAAGCTGGCACTGAATGGCATCGACTGAGCTTTGGGGGGTGCGAGTGGGGGCATCCCCAGCCCCTTGCACCAGGGCATGGCAGCCCCCGGGACCAAGGCTGCAAGCCCCCGGCTTGTGCTCTTGAAACTGCCTGGGCAGGACACCCTCCGGCCTCACCGCCAGGCTGGGCCGGCCCAGGGAAGGACTGAGTCCCGGGCCGGTGGGAGCGTGTTGCCCTTTTAAGAGGGGGCTCTCCATGCCTCAGTGCACTCGGGCCTTGGCATTGCCATTGTGGCTGCGGCTGGGGCCGGAGCCGGGCTGGGAGCTGCTCTTGGCAGGGGGAGGAGGCAGGATCCAGCCCCGGTCCCCCCACTGCTGTGCCTGGGCAGGGGCGTGAGGCAGGGAAGGGGGGCCCCGTGCCGGGACGGACAAGCGCTGCCAGGGACCCCGGGCTCGGGGCTGGGTGCCCAGGGGGAGGGGTGGAGGCAGCCGGCTCAGCTGCTCATTGTGACCTGCATTCAGCCCTGTTGCTGGGACACTTGTCTCCATGGCAACAGTAACTCTGATTATTTAACCGAATTCCCACAGAGCCGGGGTGCCTTGGAGCGCAGGGACCCGGAGGGGACGGACAAGCGCTGCCAGGGACCCCGGGCTCGGGGCTGGGTGCCCAGGGGGAGGGGTGGAGGCAGCCGGCTCAGCTGCTCATTGTGACCTGCATTCAGCCCTGTTGCTGGGACACTTGTCTCCATGGCAACAGTAACTCTGATTATTTAACCGAATTCCCACAGAGCCGGGGTGCCTTGGAGCGCAGGGACCCGGAGGGTCCGGACGGGGCTGCGGGACTCGGCTGCCCCGGCTGGGGTGGCCCTGGCCCACCCGGGTCCACGGAGACCCACGGGATCCTGCCCGGCCCGGGGCCCGCGCCGGGCAGGGCCCGCCGGCGGGAGCCCAGCGAGGTGAGACGTTGCCCGGGGACGGCCGGGGGGGCGGCAGCTGGCGCCTCCCGCCAGGGTAGCAGGAGGGACGGGATGTTGTGCAGTGTTGTTCTATCCCCTGCCAATATTGCACTCGTCCCGGCCTCCTGCCTCCTTGGGCTGCTCCGCGCCCTGGCCCCCGTGGGGCCTCGCTCGCTGCTCCCGGCCCGGGGGGAGCCGGCCCCGTTCCTCCTGCTCTCGGGAGAGCGGGCGCTGCCTTTCAGAGGCACTGCACTCGCCCGGCCGGAGTCAGACGGGATCTGAGCCACTCGGCACGGAGGGGGGCCCCGGAGCAGCTTCCGTGGCGAGGGACTCGTTACCCCTCCTGCCGGGCTGACCTACCAGCAGTGCCCTGCCAGTGCGAGGTTCCTCTCCACAGCAGGGGAGCCCCGACACGCTTCAGAGGGGAGACAGGGCCAGTAGCTCCGAGTGCCGGGCCCGATCGGCCCCGCTGCCCCTGCCCTCCCCGCCTAGGAACAAGGCTCACAGGGTAGAAAACAATCAAACTTTATGGCCAGACTCAGGTTGGAGGTCCCGGGAGGAGTCCCAGGCTCTGGGCACCTGCGTTCCTCTCCACAGCAGGGGAGCCCCGACACGCTTCAGAGGGGAGACAGGGCCAGTAGCTCCGAGTGCCGGGCCCGATCGGCCCCGCTGCCCCTGCCCTCCCCGCCTAGGAACAAGGCTCACAGGGTAGAAAACAATCAAACTTTATGGCCAGACTCAGGTTGGAGGTCCCGGGAGGAGTCCCAGGCTCTGGGCACCTGCAGTACCAGCTGAGAGGAGCTCGCCTGACACCCCAATCCACCGGCAGACACCAGGGCCTTGCGGTCCGTTGCCCTAGCCCAGCTCCGGGGGGCTGAGTCTGGCGGGGGGCATGCTTTGGCTATCCTGCTGAGGGGGGCAGGCCCAGCTGGGCTGGGCAGGCACCTGGCTACCATTGCTGCGACGCGAGGTCCGGTGGGTTCCAGTACCCGGGTCTGGCCTGCGGGGAGGCCCCAGGCATGGAGAGGCCAGGGCCTTGCTCAGGCAGGAGGCCCATAAGAAGTCCCTTGGTGACTCCCTTGGAGAGGTGCTGGGGCAGGGGGCTGGCTGGCTCACTCCCGGCCCTCCAGCAGGAACCGGCGGAAAGGCTCAAAGTCTCCAGGGATCGTGTCTGGCAGGAGAGAGAGAGAGAGAGGGTGAGGGTGAGGGTGAAGGCACAAGCAGGGGCCTGGCTCCCGGAACAGAACTCGCTGGGCACTTTGCTAGAACACGGCTCCTTTGCCCTGACCTGGGCTCATGCCTCTAGGGGCACCAGGTCCATGCAGGCCAGGGCGGAGGGTCGCTGCATCAGGGGACTGGGACGCGGGACCTTCCCTTCCCTTCTCGGGGCGCCGGCTCCGACCTGACCCCTGGGCCCCCACGTCACAGAGGAGGCCCCTGCCCCGGTGCCCGGAGGCCGAGAACGTCAATAAAACCTACGCTGAGAAGAGCCGTGTGGAGAGTTTGACACCTGGGCCCCAGGCTGCGTCAGCGCAGCCCCGGTGGGGGGGACCCAGGGCGCACACCCACGGCGGGGCCGCGTGCGAAGGTTACTTGGGATTTAGCCCGGCCCAGGGCCGCCCTGTGGGAATTCTGTCTGCCCCCCAGCAGCCCTCTGGCCCAGCCCCCCAGCTGCTCACCATTGCACCGGTACTGCAGGTTGGACCAGATAATGTTCTCCTGGGAAAAGCAGAAGACGCCCAGGCGCCCGCCCCGCCCCTCAGGTGCTGGGGCCCCCTGCCAGCCCCATGGTCCAGCTCTTGGGTGCTGGGGCCCCCCATCAGCCCCATTATCCAGCCCTCAGGTGCTGGGGCCCCCTGCCAGCCCCATGGTCCAGCTCTTGGGTGCTGGGGCCCCCCATCAGCCCCATTATCCAGCCCTCAGGTGCTGGGGCCCCCTGCCAGCCCCATGGTCCAGCTCTTGGGTGCTGGGGCCCCCCATCAGCCCCATTATCCAGCCCTCAGGTGCTGGGGCCCCCTGCCAGCCCCATGGTCCAGCTCTTGGGTGCTGGGGCCCCCCATCAGCCCCATTATCCAGCCCTCAGGTGCTGGGGCCCCCTGCCAGCCCCATGGTCCAGCTCTTGGGTGCTGGGGCCCCCCATCAGCCCCATTATCCAGCCCTCAGGTGCTGGGGCCCCCTGCCAGCCCCATGGTCCAGCTCTTGGGTGCTGGGGCCCCCCATCAGCCCCATTATCCAGCCCTCAGGTGCTGGGGCCCCCTGCCAGCCCCATGGTCCAGCTCTTGGGTGCTGGGGCCCCCCATCAGCCCCATTATCCAGCCCTCAGGTGCTGGGGCCCCCTGCCAGCCCCATGGTCCAGCTCTTGGGTGCTGGGGCCCCCCATCAGCCCCATTATCCAGCCCTCAGGTGCTGGGGCCCCCTGCCAGCCCCATGGTCCAGCTCTTGGGTGCTGGGGCCCCCCATCAGCCCCATTATCCAGCCCTCAGGTGCTGGGGCCCCCTGCCAGCCCCATGGTCCAGCTCTTGGGTGCTGGGGCCCCCCATCAGCCCCATTATCCAGCCCTCAGGTGCTGGGGCCCCCTGCCAGCCCCATGGTCCAGCTCTTGGGTGCTGGGGCCCCCCATCAGCCCCATTATCCAGCCCTCAGGTGCTGGGGCCCCCTGCCAGCCCCATGGTCCAGCTCTTGGGTGCTGGGGCCCCCCATCAGCCCCATTATCCAGCCCTCAGGTGCTGGGGCCCCCTGCCAGCCCCATGGTCCAGCTCTTGGGTGCTGGGGCCCCCCATCAGCCCCATTATCCAGCCCTCAGGTGCTGGGGCCCCCTGCCAGCCCCATGGTCCAGCTCTTGGGTGCTGGGGCCCCCCATCAGCCCCATTATCCAGCCCTCAGGTGCTGGGGCCCCCTGCCAGCCCCATGGTCCAGCTCTTGGGTGCTGGGGCCCCCCATCAGCCCCATTATCCAGCCCTCAGGTGCTGGGGCCCCCTGCCAGCCCCATGGTCCAGCTCTTGGGTGCTGGGGCCCCCCATCAGCCCCATTATCCAGCCCTCAGGTGCTGGGGCCCCCTGCCAGCCCCATGGTCCAGCTCTTGGGTGCTGGGGCCCCCCATCAGCCCCATTATCCAGCCCTCAGGTGCTGGGGCCCCCTGCCAGCCCCATGGTCCAGCTCTTGGGTGCTGGGGCCCCCCATCAGCCCCATTATCCAGCCCTCAGGTGCTGGGGCCCCCTGCCAGCCCCATGGTCCAGCTCTTGGGTGCTGGGGCCCCCCATCAGCCCCATTATCCAGCCCTCAGGTGCTGGGGCCCCCTGCCAGCCCCATGGTCCAGCTCTTGGGTGCTGGGGCCCCCCATCAGCCCCATTATCCAGCCCTCAGGTGCTGGGGCCCCCTGCCAGCCCCATGGTCCAGCTCTTGGGTGCTGGGGCCCCCCATCAGCCCCATTATCCAGCCCTCAGGTGCTGGGGCCCCCTGCCAGCCCCATGGTCCAGCTCTTGGGTGCTGGGGCCCCCCATCAGCCCCATTATCCAGCCCTCAGGTGCTGGGGCCCCCTGCCAGCCCCATGGTCCAGCTCTTGGGTGCTGGGGCCCCCCATCAGCCCCATTATCCAGCCCTCAGGTGCTGGGGCCCCCTGCCAGCCCCATGGTCCAGCTCTTGGGTGCTGGGGCCCCCCATCAGCCCCATTATCCAGCCCTCAGGTGCTGGGGCCCCCTGCCAGCCCCATGGTCCAGCTCTTGGGTGCTGGGGCCCCCCATCAGCCCCATTATCCAGCCCTCAGGTGCTGGGGCCCCCTGCCAGCCCCATGGTCCAGCTCTTGGGTGCTGGGGCCCCCCATCAGCCCCATTATCCAGCCCTCAGGTGCTGGGGCCCCCTGCCAGCCCCATGGTCCAGCTCTTGGGTGCTGGGGCCCCCCATCAGCCCCATTATCCAGCCCTCAGGTGCTGGGGCCCCCTGCCAGCCCCATGGTCCAGCTCTTGGGTGCTGGGGCCCCCCATCAGCCCCATTATCCAGCCCTCAGGTGCTGGGGCCCCCTGCCAGCCCCATGGTCCAGCTCTTGGGTGCTGGGGCCCCCCATCAGCCCCATTATCCAGCAGTCGGATGGGACGGTCACAGTTAGATTTTGCCTTCCCAGCCCGCTGGCCGAGGTATTTTTAGGATAAAATACACATTGTGTTGCTTACTCTCTGCGTGGGTGACAAGGCTGTTGTGTTCCTGGCACGACTGGCAGCAACATTCCTGTGGATGGGAGCAGGAGGCTAGTCCTCCCCCTTCTCCGCCAGGCGTCAGCACAGGGAACAACTCACCATTGCAGCGGTACCGCAGATTGGACCAGATAATGTTCTCCTGGGAGAAGCAGAAGACTCCCAGACGACCCCCCCGCATGGTTGTATCAAGGACGACTCCGGAGTCTGCTACCATTTCAGGGCCTTCGTAGAAGCGAGCTCTGGAAGGAGATGTCCCTTAACATTCAATAGGGCTAGGCCTGTACTCTTAGTTCCTTTCCCAAAGGAGGAGGGTGTATTCCCCCTTCGGCCCCCTGAGCGTGCTGAGTAAGGGTTCAGCGTTTGACTTGGAGCAGAGGTTAGCAGTTGGGTCCTCATTTCTTAAAGGGTGCTTAGTGCAGGTTTGGGGTTGGCTCGCTCTCTCCTTGCAAAAGGAACAGAGCAAGCCCTGCTCCTTACCTGATGTATCCAACTTGAGGCCGGTGCTGGAGGAACCAACGATACGAGGTCTTGTCCTTCCAGCCAGAATTCCTGGGGTCTTTCCACAGCAGCTTGACCTGGTCGGTCGTGTCTCCCGTGTGCCAAAGGGAATTGCGGAGATACTCTCCTGGCCCTGTTCTAGATTTCACTGCCTGAGGGAAGAGAGAGGGCCGTAGTCATGTGGCAGGAACACTACAAGAAGCTAGGGCTACATTCCTGGCATGGACAGACCTCCTGGTCCACAAAGAGCAGCTCTGGCCAGAGCACAACAGAGGCTAGAGCATCCTCCCCCTTCCCCTGCATCACGTGCTTGATCTAAAGACAACTGATGCCCCCCATGCCCATGGTAAGAGACCAGAACCCTGCTCTCGTCCTGCTATTTGAACCATCTCTGGTGTTCTGAGGTGGACTTACCTTCAGCTGAATCCCAGGCTCTGCCACTGCTCGGAAGGGGTTTGCCTGCCAGTACGTCTGCTCCGTCTGCTTCCACATCACCACGTAGAAACTGGAGCTGTCCTGGTAGCCGAAGATAAAGCCGGCGTAGTCGTCGTCCGTGATGGTGTTCACGTGGAAGGTGCCCTCGAAGTCCACCCCGTTGAAGGCCGTGTAGCCTGAGCAGGGGCGGGGGACAGGGTCAGCCGGGGGCAAAGCGGCCCCAGTGCTCCCACTGGGCTCACGGGCCATGGGGAGGCACGGCCTTGCCCGGCATCACCCCAGCAGCCTGCGGCCTCCCAGCCTTGCTCTCCGGGGCCCTGGAGGTCCCGCCCGTGGGGAGCCTGGACCATAAAGCCGGGGGGGGAGGTGTAATGTGCTGCAGAGACCAACAAAGGCAGCGGAAACCCACCTACCTACAGCCAGGCCTGGGTCACTGTTCATGGTCTGCACAATCTCCATGCCCTGAGAGGAGAGAATCGAAGCTGTGACTTCGGGACCCGTACGTACAGCTCCGAGCGCCCTGCCCCAGGGCCAGCACAGCTCTGGCCCCGCCCACGGTCCCTCTGGTGTAATGTGCTGCAGAGACCAACAAAGGCAGCGGAAACCCACCTACCTACAGCCAGGCCTGGGTCACTGTTCATGGTCTGCACAATCTCCATGCCCTGAGAGGAGAGAATCGAAGCTGTGACTTCGGGACCCGTACGTACAGCTCCGAGCGCCCTGCCCCAGGGCCAGCACAGCTCTGGCCCCGCCCACGGTCCCTCTGTTTGCAGGGAGAGGCTCCCCTCCCCCTTCCCAGCCGGGCCCCAGCCTGGGGAAAAGGGGCTGGGAACAGGCAGCTCACAGGCCCCACCCCCAGGCGCAACCGTACCTGATTGAGAACCACCCAGTTGGGGTCAATCTGCGCGTCCCCTTCGGGGTCCAGGATGACGGTCTGATAGGCCCGGAAGTCGGTCAGCGTCACCTCGGCGCTCTCCGGGCACACGTCCAGCTGGTCCACCACCGTATCGTTGTCAAAATCCTCCTCACACACGTCGCCCACGCCATCCCCTGAGAACGTGGCACACGCCCAGTCACGGGACAGGCCACGGGTCGGAACAGAGAATGCACAGCGCCCACACCATCCCCTGAGAATATGGCACACGCCCAGTCATGGGACAGGCCACGGACCAGGACAGAACATGCACAATGCCCACGCCATCCCCTGAGAATGTGGCACACGTCTGGTCACGGGCCAGGTCACGGGCCAGGACAGAGCATGCACAGTGCCCACGCCATCCCCTGAGAACGTGGCACACGCCCAGTCATGGGACAGGCCACGGGTCAGGACAGAACATGCACAGTGCCCACGCCATCCCCTGAGAACGTGGCACACGTCTGGTCACGGGCCAGGACAGAGCATGCACAGCGCCCACGCCATCTCCTGAGAACGTGGCACACATCCGGTCACGGGACAGGCCACGGGACGGAATAGAGCATGCACAGTGCCCACTCCATCCCCCGAGCATATGGCACACGCCTGGTCACAGGACAGGACACAGACTGGGAGAGAGAGCCCACGGAGCCCACTCTATCCCCTGAAGACACAGCACACGGCCGGTCCTGGGACAGGCCACGGGACAGGACAGAGTAC